GATGCCTGAGGGTTATGCGTCGAATCTTGGAAAAAAAAGTTGATATGGAGGTAGGGAAGTTGAACCATTTGAAAAGTCATGACTGTCATGTTTTCATGGAGACCTTAGTTCCTATTGCATTTTGTGGTTTGCGTGAAAGAATCTGGAAACCCATCACAGAGATTAGTTTGTTTTTCAAAGACTTGTGTTCTTCCACATTAAGGGAAGAAAACCTACTCCGGATGGATCAGAACATTCGTGTAACTTCTACTAAGATGGAAAAGATATTTCCATGTGGGTTTTTTGATGTGATGGAACACCTTCCAATCCACCTTGTACATGAGGCACGAATTGGAAGGCCTGTTCAATGCAGATGGATGTATCCCTTTGAGAGGTAATATTATAAGTTTGATGTATCCCTTTGAAATTATGTAGGACAATTGGCAAATGCAAACAATTTGTTAAGCAGGGGAATAGGATTGAAGGATCTATATGCGAAGCTTATCTTGCAAAGGAAACTGCTCATTTTTGTTCTTATTATTTTGAGAGTAATGTGCCATGTGCTAGGAATAAGCCCAATAGGCACACGGTCGAATGTGTGAATGATCCATTATATCCGCCTAGGTAGGGTGAAAGTCGAGAATGTGTTAGATGTTGCATATCAAAACGATATCTCCAATGTTCACCAAATAGTGGACGAACTTTTAGAAAATGATTTGGAATATCCTGAACACATATTGGAAGAAGTTGATATAAATGAAGTAAGAATTATAGAAAACGAGGAAGAAGAATCAACTGATGAAGCTCAAACTAGTGAGGAAGAAGAATTCTCGGACGAGGAACAATACGTCGATGAGCTTTAAAAAGTTGGTTTCTTTAATAACACTCGTTTATAACTAGTTTCTTTATATGTTTCAATCTAAATATGTATTATATTATACAGATGACGGGCAAGAGTCGAGGTAACAATGACCCTACTGGTTCTCGGGGTCGAGAAAAGGCTAGGAAACCAAAGAGGAGGGTAGAAGATAATACTCAATCTTTTCCACCCTCTTCAGAGATGTCTATGCCTATGCCTATGTCTTTGCCTCCACCCCAGGGCTATTCTGAGCTGCCACAGCATCATGAGCCCTACATCTTCGTGCAGACACCAGGTCTTTCATCACAGGGCCATAGGACTATACGTCCAGCATACAGTCCAACTGCCTCACGACCACGTGGATCGCAGCCATCTGCATCGCATGGATCGCATCGATCCATGTCACATCCACATGGATCACAGCCATCAGTGTCACAGCCACTCGGGTCACAGCAATCAGTATCACAGCCACTTGCGGTCCATCCAGCTATGTCGCAGTCATAGGGATCGCAGCCATCTTCATCAGCGACTCCATCTATTTCAGGCCTTCGCCTGCGAGATACCAGCTCTGACCCCCCTACACCTTCCACACATGCCTCTTATATACATGCTTCGGACGGTGATGCTGATGATGACGAGGAGGTGCATTATGATCAATGTGGCAGGATCATCATAGTTCCTGAGGGTGATGGGTAAGAGTTATTTGTTATTTTTACGTTTATTGTTTTGTACAGTTTGTACTAAGATATTAATGTGTTTTTTTAATTAAATTGCAGGTTCATCCCGAGTAATATTACTACGAATATAATCACCAAAGCCACTAGAAAGCTTTATGATGGCCCTTATGCGACTTGGAGTGAACTCCCATTCTCGCTGAAGGAGCAAATTTTCAATCAATTTAAGGTATAAATGTTCTTTTAAGCAGTATAATTATTTATATTTATGATATTTTCATATAATAATTAACTTTTAAAATACAGAGCAAGTGTGTATGGGAACACCGCTATAGCGCGGAAGTGGCTGCAAATTTTCATCACAAAGCTCGCAAGCGGTTGTCGCAAAGTTTCTCCAAAGCTAGAAAGTTGAACCAGAAGCCTGACTGGTTGCTTCAGAATTTATGGGAGGATTTGCAAAGGCAATGACTTACCGCAAAGTTCTTAGAGAAGATCGAAAAAGGAAAGAAAGCTCACGCATCTGAGAAGGGAGGCTCCTTGCACACTGGAGGTGCGATCAGCCTAGGGACAGTAAAAAGAAGATTGGTACGTAATTGCTTAATTTATTTTAATTTTTAAAGTATATCTATTCTATTTATTAACTAAAATTTATGAGTTTTCAGGAAAAGAAGTTGGGGCATCCGATGAACCAAGATGAGCTATTCAAGGAGACTCAAATTGAAAAGAAGAAGAAAGAGACGGATCAAGAAAGGTGGGTCGAGGGTCGAGCCTCGACTGTACACGTAAGTTTTCACTTTTCATTAAGTATTTTGATTTACTTTTATATAAATTTTGAGATACTAATTCAATGTAATTTTTCTTATACGGTCGCTTCACAGCTGACGTGGAGGAATTCATACGCAGTCAACCACGTAATGAGTCGGGCGAGCCAATCCAACCTTCGGACGAGGATGCTAAAAGAATGTGGACGGAGGCTGCTGGCGGTCCAAAATGGGGGAAGGTATACGGGCTTCCTACTAAGAAATTCCATCTCTATAAGTGTGGAATGCAAGGAATATGGACTTCCTCGCAAGGAGAGCAAATTGATGGGGAGAGCCTCTCCGCTATGCGGGAGACTGTGACAAAGCTCACATCCGAGCTAGAAGCAGCCAAGGAAAGAGAAAAGCTTAGAGATGCTCAGTACATTGGCACGAAAGCTCAGTACCAGGGCATGCAAGAGCATCTCAAATCTCTCCTAGCTTCTGGATGTTTTCCGATTCCTCGGTCTCGTGAGTCATCGCCAGAGGCTCGACTTGAACGTGAGCATTCCTTCCGTCCTCCCCGTGCTCGTTCCTCCCATCCTCCCCGTGATCGTTCTTCCCGTCCTCGACAAGTAGACCCTTCTGCATACTGTCTTGTGCTTTAAGTTCATCAGGCAGTTTCTGCCAAAATTATACCCAGAAAAGCGACCAACTTTTGTCGCTTTTCTATTTTAAAAAAATATTTTCTGGGTAATAGCGACCAAGGTTGGTCGCTAATTAACCCAGATTTCCTAAAAAGCGACCAACTTTGGTCGCTATTCTATTAAAAAAAATTCTTGAAATTAGCGACCAATTTTGGTCGCTTTTTATGTTTAAAAAAAATTTAAATTCTTGAAATTAGCGACCAATTTTGGTCGCTTATGTTTAAAAAAATTTAAAAAAAATTAAAAAAAAGCGACCAACTTTGGTCGCTATTTGCCAGGTTTTAAAATATAATATTTGGTTTACAGACCAAAGTTGGTCGCTATATTTTGAATAATAATAAATAAAAAAAATATAATTTAAATATAGAGACCAACTTTGGTCGCTAAATTTATATTATTAAAATATTAAAGCGACCAAAGTTGGTCGGTATATTGTTTACCGAAATATTTGGTCCTTTTACCTTAGAGACCAAAGTTGGTCGCTAATTAGGGACCAACTTTGGTCTCTAAGGTAAAGGGACCAGCAAAATAGCGACCAAGCCAGTTTGGACGCTTTTTGGTCGCTTTGTGACTTGTAAGCGACCAACTTTGGTCGCTTTTTGTGGTCGCTTTTTTCCGGATTTCTAATAGTGTATATTCAAGGACAGGTGTTATGGTGTATGTTATTTGTATATGACATCGTTCTAATTGACGAGGCACGAGGTGGTGTTAATGAGAGGCCGGAGGTTTGGCGAGAGACTCTTAAGTTGAGTAGGACCAAGACAAAATACTTGGAGTGTAAGTTCAAGCAGGGGACGTGGATGTGAGGCTGGAGGCTTAGGTCATCCCCAAGAGAGATAGTTTCAAGGACCTTGGGCAGGGAAATTGGGAGATTGATGAGGATTCCACATCGTATTGGAGCAGGGTGGATGAAAGAGAGGCATGCTTCCGAAGTCTTGTGTGATAAAAATGTGCTACTAAAACTTAAATATAATTAAGTTCTACAAAATGGTTGTTAGACCGACATTTTTGTATGGGGCGGAGTGTTGGCCAGTCAAGAATTCTCATGTTCAGAAGATGAAAGTAGCTTAAATGAAGATGTTGAGATGAATGTGCGGGCATACCGGGTTAGATAAGATCTGAAATGAAGTTAATCGCGAAAAGGTTGGAGTGGCCCTCGTGGAAGAAAAGATGTAGGAGACGAAGCTGAGATAGTTTGGATATGTGAAGAGGAAAAGCACAGATGCCCCAGTTAGGAGGTGTGAGAGGTTGACCTCGGTGGGTGTGAGGAGGGGTAGGGTAGGCCAAAGAAGTATTGCGAGATGTGATTAGGCTGCACATGACACAACTGAAGCTTACCGAATACATGACCATTGATAGGGGATATGGAGATCGAGAATTAGGGTGGATAGTTAATAGGAAGTCGTGCGTGTATGTTTTCTTTCTCAGATCGATAGCAGAAATGTTAGCATGGTATTTCACTATTGTTGGATTGATGGTACTATCTACTGTTTGATTGCATTTTTTGTTTTAATTTTCTTAATACCTTGTTGTTGTTATCACTTGTTGCAATTGCTTCTTTTCATCTAGTCTTTAGCGAGAGTTTATCGAAAAGAGCCCTTCAGGATAGGGACAAGGATGCCTGTACACTATCCTCCCTAAATCCCATTTGTAGGAACTTCGCTAGCGTTTGGCCATACATTCCAAATTTGTTGTGAAAAATCTGATTTGGGTGAAGTTTGGTTTGAAGATGAAAATGTGTTTGAACATACGTTTTCAAAATATTCCCAACTTTATTTTGGAAAAACATGTATATAATTCCCAAGTTTTGAAATTTTGGCCCAAAATCAGCAATTGGGGTGATTTTTGGATTTGGGGTTTGGGATTTTGCCAATATGAGCGAAATTTATGACCAAACATGAGTTTTGAAAATAAATCCCAAATTTATTTTGACAACATTCATAACCAAAGGGGTCCTTCATGTTGTTGTGTATTTTGTCCTTTACATTTTTAATCATGTTAGCATAACTGTGTATAATATAAAAAACTACTCAAAACTCAGATTGCGCAGTGGAAATGAAACATCTCTCTCTTCTTTTCTCTTTTTCTTCTTACAAAAATACACTATCGTGACCAGAAGCTGGTTCTTAGAAAGAAACAATCGGCAAAGCAGTATATAATTAGTAGTAATATACTAAACTTCCAGTAAAGTATACATAAAATCTACTTCCAAAGCTAGTCCTTGTAGTTCTCCTCTCCCTCTTCACATGAAGGTTACATCCCGTGGAACCTTTTCACTTTCTTTGTAGTTCCCTCCAAAGACTTACTGACAGAAAAGAGGGAGAGAGAGCTCACCTACTACCCAAACACGAGATAAAGAAAGGAGTACAGTTGATTAGACATTACTATTTCTTTTCGTTTTCCCTTAGGTTGAAAGTTTGTCAGAAAGCTTCAACTTTTGTTGGGCATTAATGATCTCTGTCACAGCCTGCATTTACATGAAGATTCTTGAACTGGGTTTCTCTAAAAATGTCAACTTTAGACAAGTCCCATGTTGATTTGGAAGCTGGTACTGCTGAAATTGTGGAAAAGAAGAGGTCTTCTTCTGTATCAGAATGTTCAGTGGAAGTGGATCTGGAAGCTGAGGGACAGGATACTACTAAGCCACATTTGCCTAAAGTTATAAAGAGGGATTGTAGGATTTGCCAACTGAGTTTTGATGCCTCAAATCCAGAATCTGAGGTTCCCATTGAATTGGGTTGTTCTTGTAAAGATGATTTGGCTGCTGCTCACAAGCAGTGTGCTGAGGCTTGGTTCAAAATTAAAGGAAACAAGTAAGTATTTTGACTAGTAATCCACATTTTGCTATTATAAACCAGCTATATTATTCTAATTTTAGTATGGCTACTTTCTTCGTCGTTCTTTATTTCTTGGGTACAGATTATTTTCAGGTTTAGAGAATGATTAGAAGGAACCCCTACATTTTTTCTTTGTTCAGGGGCTCATTCAGGGAATGCGGCCAAAAGAGTAGACTACCTTTAAGATAGTGGCAAAATTTGTTTTCTGATTACAGTTTAAGCTTTATTAAATGAGTATAAAGTAATGCTTTGTGGTAGACAGAGCAAAATGAAAGTGGATAAGCATCTTGTGTTTAATTGAAAAAATTGAGCAACCGACACTAGATTTTTGCTTATTCTTTACTGCGAACTATTAATTTCTCCGATCTGAATCCTTCTCTCATTTATCTACAATATAACATCAGAACTTCATTCATACCATTTCTTTTTGTTTAAATTGGACACCGACTCAATACTGATCACCAGCCTCCAATTTGTCTAGTGGATCCTGTAAGACTATATTTCTAGTCTAATCATTTGATGGAGTCCGGTGCACTAAGCTCCCGCCATGCGTGGGGTCCGTGAAAGGACCGGACCACAATGGTCTATTGTACGCAGTCTTACCCTGCATTTTTGCAAGAGCCTGTTTCCACGGCTCGAACCTGTGACCTCCTGGCCACATGGCAACAATTTTACCGGTCACGCCAAGGATCTCCTTCAATCATTTGATGGAGTATAAATTCCTATATTACTTATCTTTTTGGTGAATCTGATAGGTTCCCGATACGTTCCGGTGTCTTTGTCTCATGCTTGGATGTGGACACTGGGTAGCAGTAAAATGTCACCAATTGAGAATTTCGTCTGACTGAACTTTGTTCTATTTGTGATGTCAACGCAAATATGAAGTACCTTCCATGTCTATCGAATTTTCCAGTTGACCTACTTGTATTGATGAGCAGGACATTCGACATAATGCTAAACCTTTTGAGGTTTCATTCTGTATGGAGGAACGCGATCTCGCACACATCTAGCTTTTACAAAAAACACTTTATTAGCTACTTTCCCCTCTTTTGCTTCTCTTTGTATCTTCTTGGAATGCTCTTTTCTCACACGCTGTGAAGAAGATTCTCTCTTATACTTTAGTCAAACACACAATGGTCTGGGTTTTAAAACGGGCCAAAGTTGTGTGCTTGCGATGCCTTTTTGGGATTAAGAAAATGTGAAGAAATAATGTATGAAGCCTGGTTTCACGTTAGTTTAGTGATTCATTCTCACTGGCTTAATGTGATTAGAAGCAAATAGTTTCAAATGAAACTATAACAAGTTGGCTTCTTGTGCAAAAGGCATCATTCTTCTGGTTTATCAGATATTGTTAACTTACTTGATGGGTGGTGCGGGGATGGAGTGGTCATTGACAAGCTAATGTTGACAGTAGCTTTGTTGATACATCTAAAGAGTGTTGAGTGTGTGTAAAAATTGTCTTGTTTCTTAGCCCCTTTGCTCTTTCCTTACCAATTGCAGTGTCATTCATTATTTAACGAGCAGCCACTGGGAAATCCTAACAAGTGCAAATCGGTTGGTTCTAAGATATGTAAGATGGGCACTTCATAAGTTATCATGCCTTTTACTCAGGGGGGACAATGATGTATTTGGCTGTGTCCTAGGTTATTTCTATTGTTTGATTATTAGTCACTTTTGTCTTTCATGCGTCTTTGGTGTAACAGGAACAAGCACATAGACTAATTAGAGTATATATCCTTAAAAGTTAGGCAATGTTTTCTGTTCAGATTGTTGGCATATGATACAAAAAATTGGCAAATATAATTTAGTGTCTTAATTATTTTGTTTTGGGTTG